CTATTTTTTTTTCTTTTTAGTAGGGATGAGGTCTCACTGTGTTGCCCAGGGTGGTCTCAAACTCCTGGGCTCAAGCAATCCTCCTATGTCAGCTTCCCAAAGTGCTGGGATTGTAGACATGAACCACTGTGCCTGGTTTATTTAGAATTTTTAAGCACAAACTCCTTATCCAGGATTTCAAATGTGTTGTGCAATTGTTTCTGTTATAGTTTCGGTTACTGGTTTTCTAGACTTACTATATCCTTTCTTACTACATCCAGAGAAAGTGATCTAATTGGGTTTCACCATATTGGCTAGGCTGGTCTCGAACCCCTGACCTCAGGTGATCTGCCCGCCTCGGCCTCCCAAAGTTCTGGGATTGCAGGCGTGAGTCATCATGCCTGGTCCATGATTACATTTTCTGATATGCTTTTTTCCTCCAACATTTTTTATCAGTAATAGACACTGAATTTTACTGATAGCCTCCTCAACCTTTTTTGAAATGATTATTTAATCATTTTTCTAGCTAATGTTAGTTGTTTGTAACATTTTCCTTGCAATATGCTATCCTTGCATTCCACCATTTGGGGTAGTCAATTTATCATCTATATTAATTATAATATTTTAACAAAATAGTACTTGTCACATAAAATAGGCTGGGCAATGACAAATTATTTTTTATATTCCAGCACATTTTAAATAATGTATGGAAATTCTTTGAGGAATTTGGAAAAAATCCTTCATTGAATTCACTGGAGCCAAGGATATTTTTGAAAGACTCATTTTGCATTGTCTTCCTTTGATATTGATCTAATCACTTTCTTCCTATTTTCCCTGCGTTCTTAGCATTATGAATATTTAGCAACTATCTCTGATGTGTGATCACATTTCCTATTCTGTAGATAAAAAGGAAATGGCATGGACAGTCTTTCTGCCTGGGTCAAAAGTTGGCCTTAGCTTCTCAGATTACATTCAATAGTAATTCAGATTACATTCTTCTTTTTGCTAAGATCCTCTAGCAGACCATCAAAATCTCTTTGGATTTTTTTCTTCCTTTTTTTTTTTTTTTTTTTTTTTTTTTTTT